ACTCCAGACAGACGCAGGTTAAGATCTTTCCTGGTAAGCCAGCTCGTGGAGCTACACAGATTATTAGAAATGGGTTAGATCGATATGTAAGAGCTAGCCAATAAGAAACTGGAACTAATGGGCCAGGCAGTGTTTAAAAGAATACAGTTTCCATGTAATTATTTCGGGTAAAGCTAGCCGTGCGGGCAGCCGGGTGCCGGGGACGCAGCCCACCGCTCCTATTACAACAAATGTAGAACTTCTAAGAGCAGTTCCAGGCAGGCTCCTGCATAGTGTCAGGAGCTGTGACCAGGGGCTTCCACTATTGCCTTCCTTGGCCTTCCACCTCATCTGCTTTACCTGGTTTAACTTCCATATAAAGCAAGGCTCAAAGCCACCTGAAACTGGTAGCCAGGCTCCCCCCAGCCTCCTTGACCATGTCACAGGGGAGCTGTCAATAGTGCTTCTAAAGACACAGGGAGCAGCAGCACTTCCTGGACAAACTAGTGTCAGAGTCAAAACATGGGAATGAATGCCACACATCTGCTGGCTTCAGGTGTCTGCCAAGTGGCTTTAGGTCTAGATGAGGAACTGCCCTCTGTAGTGCCACACTCAATGACCCTGTCTCACTGGACATGAGAGTGAGAATGCTGATCCTGAATGGTGTCATCCAGGTGACAGCCTATGCATCAGGCCCGGAGCAGCAGTGGTGATCTCCTCCATGTCAAGGACATCTGCGGTCACTCTGCTGCTGCAAGAGAGAGTCAAACTCTGGACCCATTTAGTAGGAAAGAGAGAAGCTTTCTGGGCATGTGACAGGCCAAGCAGAACGTGCATGTGGCACATGGAATGTAATGGGTGACTCCCCGACACTTTAAACCCCAAATCCCATGGCCCAAATCTCTCAGGAATAAGCCAGTCTCTTCCCAGGATCATTGTGGTTATAAAGGAGATCTTGGCAGAGCTAGCCAGCTGTTCAGACTTAAACCTGGGGCTGCCTCTTCTACCCTGTCCTCCCTCGACAATCTAGCCACAGTACTTCAAGGGGCTCTCTCCAGAACATACTGCGTATCACTCTGTTCTCTGATTCCTGCCACACTCTATACCACTTAGTTCCTGGACTCTGCCCTCACCCACTAACGGGGCCCTAGTTTCTAGTCTTGGTCTCCTTCCCACTTTTTTTTAAAGATCCATTTATTTTTATTTTATGTGCATTGGTGTTTTGCCTGCATGTATGTCTGTGAAGGTGCCAGATCCCCTGGAATTGGAGCTGCAGACAGTTGTGTAGGTGCTGTGAATTGAACCTGGATCCTCTGGAAGAGCAGTCAGTTCTTAACCGCTGAGCCATCTCTCCAGCCCCACTTAGTCTCCAAGTCTCCTAATTTGTTTTCTACACATTAGTAGTGGTGATTAAAGAACACAAAAAGCAAGACTAAGTAAATAGATCATGTACATCTATTTAAAAAAACCTTTCTGTGCACTTAGAATGATATTTGGCCTCTATCCTAGGATGAGCCCAGTCACACTGACATGCAGGTGTTAATGACACCGAGTTCTCCCTGTATACCTGGGCACCAGCTCTCCCCATCCCTTTTCCTCTGTAGCTGCTCCTGCTTCTGTCATTCAAGCCTTGACATAAAGGGCCTCACGTGGGGCACTCCCCTGAGTGTCTTCTCCATCCACACCTGCTATAGTCTGATTTTACTCCTGTCTCACTGCTCCTTGCTCATTATTCATGCATTCAACCAACATCTCTTGATAGCTCTGTGCCAATTTCCAAGAACGGTGCATATCTTTCCCAGAAGACATGAAAGCCATGAACATGAGACCTGAACCTTGAAACCTGGCATGGAAGAGACATTTGATGGGCATCTTATCTGCAGAATAAATGAGAGCTACAAGCTGATTTCCTGTGTGCTTGGGAAAACAGAGTTGGCTGGGACAGCTTCTTGCTTAGGCCTCATGGCTTTGAGGCAGCAATATTCCAAAGTGGCCCCACCTCTGGAATAAATCACTCACTGCTTTTGTGTTTTCCAGGCTGACCATGACTCTGTTTATGGATCCAGCCACCATTTATTTAGATCCTATTGTGTGCAGGCTTATGCTCAACCTCAGTCAGTTCTTTCTGTGGCCTAGTTATGACCTGACTGACCAGTATTAAAGGTTACCCACATAGTTTAGCCAGGCAGCAGGCTTCCTCTCATGCCTGGACACTGCCACCCTTCCATGTAGGCTTCCAAGATATCCGGAGTTTCAGTGCATTCCCAAGGACAACACTTTAAAGGCAAAACATGCTCAGTGTCCCAGCCATGTGCAGTGTTACAGCCACATTTCTCAAGCGCATTTTGTAAGCAATGTATAGTCCTACCTGCATTGATCTGGTGTCATTACACCTTCCACCATCACAGGTGTCCATGCAGTGGGCCACCAGACTATAGGGTTCAGCAGGACCAGGCTGTGTCCCATTGGTATTGACACTTGCCATCTCTGAGATCTTTGGCCACCCCACTTCAGTTTCCTCTTTTGCAAAACCAAGGACCATGAAAACACCAGATGTATGGGCTGTTGGAATCCCTTGTTCTCCCTATCCTGTGGTCCCAGCTCAAGCAATACGAGAAGAAGGAAGAAGCAACATCTCTATGCCAATCTCATAACCAAACACCAAGAGCAAAGGAGAATGCTGTTAAGAACAAGATAGTTCAGACAAGTGTGTGCTGGGTTGCACCAGAGATAGAAGAATGCAGGAGGATGCAGGCAGGGTGGCAGAGCACATGGATGCTCTATCACATGCTATAACAGAGGATCATCTTTTCCACAGAGTCTGGGGACAACAGCTGAGAGGGGAGGGGAAAAGGTTTGGGCCTCACTGTTCACCAATGCTCTGTACCAAGGCTGCCCTTGGATCAACAAAGCATCTGAGTGGCAGGGAACAGATCTAAAGCAAGGCCAGGTAGTAGCTTTTCCAAAAATGAACCAACCACCCCCTGCCCCAACGACCTGGGAATCCTGAGGCTATAATCCATGCAATGTTCACAGCCTTCTCTCCCTGACATTTCTATTTTCTAGAATGTTATGTCTTGCTACATTCTTCCCTGGCAAGCAGTCTTCTGTAGCTCGGGAAGCAGCCCGGCTGCCAGCCCTTAGACAACAGTAGGATGATACCCTACAAAAAGAGATGACTGCAGCCCCAAGTCTCCTGATTATTGGTAGGATGGAACCACAGTTCTTTGCATTCTGTCAGCACACATCCAAAGATGGCAGAGACAGAAGTCCTAGGGAATTGCTTGGTTCAGGATCCCCAAGTATGGGGGCTCATTTTCATCACAGCATAGATTCAAAACTGCAGTGCATGGTCCAGTCCAGTGAGCTGTGCTTGACAAACCACACAGTCCTAATGCTACTCTGACCTGACACTGTCCACAGCCCCAGCAGCAGACAGTATCCTCTGGGATATACTGAAGCTTCCCTGAGAGTTCTGCTTGCCCCAGAGTAGGTCAACTTTCTGTGGAGAACCTGGAAATAGCCCTAGCTACTCCTATCATTTTATTCACTCAGCCCTCCCCCAAGAAGCTCCACCCCCTACCCCCACCCCAAGTCATAGCATTGTTCATAGTAAGGCCAATGCACACAAGAAGATTCGTAGCTCAGTCCTCTGGGTACCTGCAGGGCTCCCAGTAGCCCAAGAAACAATAACAGCATCTCGACAATAGAAAAGTCATTTTAAAAAGTATCCCCAAAAAACCTTCTAAAAAAAGCCTCACTGCTCCAATGGCCTTAGAACCACAGGACTGGCAGCAACTGCAGAGACAGCAGCTTCCAAATTTGCTTTGACCCCAAAACCAGGGCTCATCTGCAATTCACTCAGAAGCCCCATATACAAACAGGCTGCTCTAGTGGAGGCTGGATCATCTTCACTCCTCACCTGAAGCTCCAGATGGTCTCTAAGACAACGTAAGGACCTAAGGGGTTCTGCAAAGCACCGACAGAAACCCACTATTCCAAGTCAACTGTGTAGAGCATGGATGGGAAAGGAGGCCCAGATTCTGAATGGTATATGAATGAAAACCTAGTTCCCAGACTCCAGGCTAACATTTCTCTCACCACTCTGCTACAGCCAGGTATCTTACAACTGGAAGAAGCAAGGCCCATTTTAGATTGCCTACAACATAAATCTTACACATCTTAAAGGACCCTGAGCCAGCCAAGTAGGAAAAGGAGTCCAGCCCCAGACTAGCAGAAAGAAAGTTGGAAATGAGAGGAAGAAACATGTGTAGCAATTCCATACAGTTCTGTCAGTTCTTGGGACATAAACAGGTCTTGAAAGGCCTGGGCTGTGCCCCTATGAGAGACTCTGGAGCAGGCAGGCCAGGAGGTAAATACTAATGAGCTGTGGAAATAGCAGTTACTTCTCCCATGTCAGGCACTGTGCCAGCTAAGGAAGATAAAGAGGTCTGAGATATTTTTAAATTATTTTTACAGCAGAAAAACTTTCCTACAGACTCAATTATATAACTATCAGACTCCACCTCTGAGCTGAGATTATCCAAGGCCTCAGGATGAAAAGGAAAAAAAAGGGAAAGAAATCATTTTTTCCTACATGAGGGTCACAGGTTTCTCCAGAGAACTCTGAGCTATATGGCCAGTGACCCAGGGCAGCTGCAAGCCATCAATCCCCAGACCTTCTCAAGAGCAATTTGGAGCCTGCCAAAGACCAAAAAAAAAAAAAAAAAAAAACTGGCCAAGCCAAGGGCAGAAGTCACATGCTGAGGCGGGCCAGCATAGATGATTTCGACAGGTCCAGGAAGATCTGTTGAGGGCTTCCAAACCCAGGCACTTGCGCACCCTACTCATGCCCTGGAAGCCAGATGAGGCTGTGGTCTCTGGGGCTGTGGAGATACCCAGGGACTATCTCCACACTTCACAGTGACTGTCTTTAGCAGAGCACATACCCAGTGAGAGAAAGCTCAGGGCTTAAGGCATGCAGACACTCAGCAAGGACAGGCTGAGGGAGATTAACTTACAGCCCAGGTTTTCGTCAGTCTGAAGATGGGAGCACTCTGTAACGCTGACACCACAGACATGAGAGAATGAAGGTTGTTGAGTTCTAGAAGTTTCTGGGAAACACAAAGATATGGAATACATTATTTTGCTGCCATAGACAACAGAACAAAAACATGCTTGAGTGTTGCCAAATGTTGTCATATTTATGAAATTCAGTTACACTTAAAATATCTCACACAGAAAATATAGTTCTAGAAAGTTTATAGGAAACATATGATCTTTTCCTCTCATTTTTTTAAAGAAGGTTGAGTCCCCATCTGAAAAATTTGCCAATTTTTATAATCTGACTTGTTTGACTGCTGGATGGAAGCAATGCTTAAGACTGGATAATTGCTTTGTTTTCATAGTTGACCCTGAACAGGCAGGCTTCTGTGAGAAGACCCCAATGTGCCGACAGCACCAGCAGCTTATACAGCGGTTACCTTAACCCTGGATGGGAAAGAGGCCAGGGGAGACGTTATCAATCTGTGCAATGGTTCTCAGCTGGGAAGGCAAGGCTCAGGATTCCCAGGCCCCAAGTGAGTGAGGACATATGGTGTCACTTCAGTCTCAGACAAGTTCTTTACCGTGGAGGGCCACAGAAAGACTCAGCAAAGCTGCGGCAGAAGACCATAGTCTCTAGTCTTATCTTTTTAGCTGAGGTGAGCAGTGAAGCTTGTCCTAGCAAGAAGATGCCATGGACAAAATCCCAGCTTCTTTTTCTTGTGCCCCTTTGGCAAGTTACCCAGGCCTTCTGCATTTCAGTGTCTTAGAGTTCAACTGAGGGTGGTGACTATGGTACCTGTGCCACCTGAGATGAACATGCCAAACTGCCCAGCTGGGCAGGTCCCTGTCTTCTCTATCTGGAAGGCTCATTTCCACCCCCTCACTCATTGTCTTCCTCATGTGTGTCCTGTGAGCGCAGGGATGAAGTGTTATCTACCACCCCGCACTTGTACCTTGCACAAAGCCTAGCACAGTACGTGAGATAAATCAATTGATAAAAGCCTTTAGGCCTGTCCCCTACCGCTCTACTCCTACTTGGAAGCAGGGCCTTAACCACATAAACTGAGTGCTTCACTTCAGACATCTTGTAACACTCCATCATTATTTCCTGTGTGTAAGAACAGATGCTCCCAGGGAGATTTCAGTTGGGTATCTGAATTGCTGTGCCTGCCACAGACTTTCCTCCCAGTGGCAAGGCATCTAGGGCATTATCTAACCTGTCCCTTTCTCTTCTACAGACTGGAAAACCAACACTCAGGGAGGGAGGGGGCGCACAGCCAACATGACCTTCCTCAGTAAGGGAGGGGGCAGAGATTAAGGAGGGGTCATTTGGGCTCCTTAGGTGGGGACTATGCTCATTTTCAAACAGAAGCCCTATGAGGACTGGAACATGCCCAGCATCCTTTTCAAGCAGCATGAAAAACAGCACCAATCCCAAGTGTTCCCAGAGACTCCATGGGATGGTGAGCTCTGACCCTGACAGAGTTAAAGACTGCTTAACCTTCTGGGGACAGGAGGCACAGCAGCTTCCCTGAGGGTGTGTGTGACTGTGAGTGCTGCTCCACTGGTTAGCTGAAGCCCTCAGCATGGACACTTCGTCTCTCTTCACCGCCCCTTCCCCTGTGCAAATGGAATGGCAGCCTTGAACAATGACTTCGATCACACTGGCACAGCAGCTGTCACACAACCTGGTACCCAAGGCCTGTGTCCAGGACAGCTTTGCTCTAGGGTCATGTGCCCTGGAAGGAAGCCATGAACTAGGTAGAACAATGCTACCAAGGCGAGCCTGGCAGGCCCAGGTAGGGGGAACAGGTATTGCTACTGAGCATGACAGTGGTCCAGGAAAGGCCCAACACAGCACAGCCTGACAGTCAGAAATGAGAAGAGAGGAGGAGAAAGGTGGACCCTGATCAGCAGCATGGACAGAGCCTATCAGTGGGGCTCGAGTGGTCCACGCCTTCACTCAGAATGGGTGTGAGGGACCCTGTTGATACAACTGTACAGGACATGACTAGATCAAAAGCACTGGGGCTAACTACAATCTATGGGCCCCCAGCATGGGCAAAACCCAAAGGAGAATGGACAGATTCCAGAAAACCACTGGGCCACATGCAGAGACTGGAAGTCCAAGTAAAAGGAATAACTGGCCATAGAATTATAAGATAGGAAGGGGAGCATATTTTTCACACAAGCAGCCAGGTCAATATCAGAAATGGCTGTCTGGAGAGGTCAGGCCACAGCCTTCCACCCGTGATGTGGACCCCCGTCTCCCTGTCTGGAAGGCCCAAAACATCTGCCAAAGTTCTGAAGAAACACATTTTGAGAAATAAACAAACAGCTTACCTTGGCTATTTTCACAAAATGGCTCAGGATTTCTGCCCTTATTTTTAAAGTCTGTGCTGTTAGAATTTCTCGTACAACCCAAAAACTGACCTGTAGAGTCAAATGCACACACAGAGACACACATACAGAGAAGTAGTTAGATGCCAGGCTGTCCATATCACCCTTTGCCCACCATCACTGCAGGGTTTCCATGGGGGCAGTTCCTTGTGGCACCCATGGCCAGATGGGCTCCTTATCTGCCCTGCCTCCTCCAGCACATGCAGTGTGGACCATGCAGCACAGTGCTGGACCCCACTACACACGCCAGTGCTTCTGTGGGTGCCTCAAGGAGGATCGAGATGTGGGAAGAAGATGGGTGATAGAATGTATGGACCAATGGAAATGTGGACATAAGTTCAGACAAAGAGAAGTGTCTACTGATGATGCCTTCCATAAGTCCACACTCCAGGCAAGCCGAACGCAAGGAGGATTTGCTGATCTTTACTTTCTAAAAGAGGTTTGCCAATAATAAGAGATACAGAGTCCCACTAGCCCTGAGGGGCATGAATCTTCTGGAGGGGCATGGGTCAGCCATGAAGGTAGTTTTGATGTAGAACTTTATGCAAACAGGCCTCCTGAGCCCTGGAGTCTGTTGGTGGCAATAAGAAAGTTGTCTATCAGCATGAGGCTCACTCACAGCACCAGAGAAAATACAGAAAGCAGGCAGCCAAGGAATGCTAGGAGAAGCTCAGTGCTTATCGTTTATGCCTCTCAGCATCAGGACAGTGGTGTCCCAGTGTGCAGAACAGCGTGGCAGAGAGACAGTGCAGCCACATGTACAGGGAAACAAGGTGAGATGCGGAAACCACTCTCTTGACAAGGGAAGAAACGGTGAAGGGTAGCCTGATGTTAAAAAAGCAAGCCTGCTGTACAAGAACACACCTTCTCCTGACTAAAATAGTGCTGTGATACAGATAGAGAGCAAAAGATGCTGAGAATAAGCAATTGGCCATTTTGTTAAGCAGGAGCATCACGGAAATACTGTCTCGGTGTAATTAGTCATGGCTGCCTTCAGATCACATCTGGGTTTCTGTAGAATCATTTTTTCCAGGGGACTGCCAAAATTAAGTTCAGACTCAAATGTTTACCAGTCGCTTCTGGAAGACAGTTATTCTGGGCACCAAACAGAAGCTTGCAAAGCTTATATTTAAGATGTGTACTTTCTATACCACATACTCTCAAGTGTGATGCTCCTCATATGTAACTTAACGGATTCTTGTGTACCAAAACCTCATACATTCTCCTGGTCTGGTTCTGGAAGGAGCAGATAAAGGACCTGCACACCCAGTATGCAGAGGCTCTGCAGCAACAGTCAGGTCAACAGATTTGCATGAAGCTCTACTGTGTGCAGGGACCAGACACTATCTGGACTGCTGGAAGAAACCAGAAGAGGCAGAGCCCTCCCATCTGGACTGGAGGGTAGCTGTAGTGACAGCTGCAGTTCAGAGCATGGGAATTGCAGTGTGGGGCCCTGACAGATGGGAGGCAGTTTCCTTGGTAAGGCAGGACCGAGGTGTCACCGTGTATGCCATGACTCAGAACAGCTAAGTGGCTGGTGGGGCTGGAGGAGGGCCATGTGGTGCAGCAGTGAGGACAGACAACCAGATATGGACTACCAGACTTCAGTGCTCGGGCAGGAAAAGATGGATCTAGGACACCACCCAGTGCTGGGACCCTGATTCTGAGTGGAGTGACAAAGGAAATCCCCGTCAAGCATGGGCACCCCCTAGGACTCAGGCAGCGGTCTGTGAGGTGGGAGTCTAGATAGGACTGCAGTGATGAAGATGTGGATGGGGGCAGGTAAGAAAACATGCAGGTGATTTTGTAAACAACTACAGTTACGAATTTAAGAATCTAACAAGAGTTCTAAGTAAAAGTTGGAGCTAACATTGTTATTTAAAATAATGACCTTTTCTGCTGGGGGTGGGGTCAGGAAACTGCCTATGAGGGAATAATGTATTTCTGGAAATGTACTTGTCTGAATTCTCTTTAGTCTATACAATTGTGTGTTTTAAAAGAGAGAAGTGAATCTTTTTTTGGGTACAAAAATATATATTTTAATAAAATACCTTTTTGAGTGAGAATCACATTCTCTAGACACAATCTAGACTGTAATATATGTAAATCAATATATATGTGGTTACAGTATAACATGAAGCAAATAAAGTAAGAAAGGCTACATACATATATAGAATGAGGACACAGGAGTTACAAAAGGGGACGAAATGCTAACTGTTTTTCTAGTTCTAATTCTGTTGTGGATTTTCTGGTCTTGGTGATAAATAAGTATTAAGATACAACTGATGCTGAAAATACAAAGTTTAATATGAAGTTCCACAGCTTTCATATAAATGTCTTATTCTGGCTATGGAGAAGTTCATCTACTTGTACTGGCTAATTTTGTTGCATGATGTTTTTATTTATTTGCAAGTGATTTTATAATAAAGCTTATAAGAAACAAATAAAAAAGAAAGACATGCAAGGGTACAAGTGCATGGTCTTTTAATCTCTAACTATAAAATTTAACAGATGAAGAAAGCAAAGATAAACACAAGAGACAGAGGTCATATGCAAGCTCAGACCCACAGACCAACAATGGCAAACTGTGACCTGTGCCCTAGTCTTTTCCCCCACACCTAGCACCCATCGTTGGCTTTAATTAAAACTGGTAAATTTTAAGCATATATCACAAGCAGCTTTAGAAATGGTAAGTATTTATCTATGATTTTTTCAGCATCCAAGACTTTCGTCACCATCATGTTTACACTCACCTGACTGTGGGGTCACTACTAGAGCTCTGGTGTAATAAACAAGACCATGGTGAACACCTTCAGACATGTTTCTATAGAGTTTTTATTAAGGCCCTAGGACAAGCCTTTGGAAGGTGGATTGAATAAAAGTGTATGTAGAAAAGCATATATAAAGAACCGGGCCACCAAGGATCTGCTGCTAAGTTTAAATGGACCCGTGTTCTCAAACAGGGCTCAACCCATCACAATCACTTCTCTCTGCTTGCACAGTGCACCAGACGGCAGCTCATGGTTGTGCTCTGCCCTTCCCTCATGCCCATCCAGGTAGCTGTTTTCTGTAGATTTTAGTTGGCATTTTCTTTGTTCTATCTTTTTTCCCTCCTGCCTCCACTTCCTCAGATCTGGGATAAGAGGTGTGCATTACCACCACACCTGGTTTAAACGGTGCCAGGACTGAAATCAGGGCTTTCTTCACACTAGATAAACACTCAGCTGAGCTGCATCCCTAGCCATGTGTACCACTGCCTGTTTGGGTCCTTTACTCATCTCTCTCCACTGGGACTTATGCCCTCTTCCTGCTACTATTTGAGAAACAAGAGCAGAGAGAAAAGGCACATCTATACACTAATTTGGGGAGTAGAAATAGGAATATTTAGAACAACTTGAATGTGCACATCTACATAGTTAAGGTGTATTCTCTTTTAAAAGATTTACCCTATAAATACAGAAGCATTTTGTGAGCATTTATTTATTTTACTTTTTGGTGTTTCAAGACAGTTGGGGTATATCATATGAGGCGGGGAACGTGGAACTCACTCTGTAGACCACAACTCAGAGAGATCTACCTGCCTCTGCCTCCCGAGTGCTGAGATTAAAGACGTGTGCCACCACAGGTGAAGTTTATAAACACTTATAAAGATGATACAATTCAAAGCCCAACGAGGTACCAGTCAGTATGTGGCCTTTGATCCCTCTGTCCATCACACTTTGAAAAGAAACTGCTGTTTGCCCACTCTTCCTGGAGTTATGCTTTCCCACTCTTTCTGATTAGAGCTATGCTCACCCACTCTCCTCAACAGAGCTATGCTCCACCTTCCTGAGGACAAGCAACTGCATGCATTGAGAGCCTACTATATGGAACACACATCTATTCTCATCACTTATGTATCTGATCATTACTTATAGCAGAATGGTCTTATGGATTCTTAAAGAAACTTTGGTTTGTAGTCCCGTGCTGTGTTATTTATTTTGTGGCTCCAACTGTTCCCACTTTACCCATTTATCCCTAGCATTCGGTTGGCCCCACCACATCTGCCATACCCCAGCTGTGTTTTGGTTCATTGGTCTGTATGTTTCCTCGCTTTCTGGTACTATATATATTACAGATCCATCATGCGCACATTCTGTTCCCCGTTCTAAAATCAGTCTTTTTTTCCATGGAATTCTGGTTCCATTCATTAGATGATGCTGTTAGAAAAACCAAGATTAGTTCTAAGATTAGTTTGCTGGTAATGGACTACTGATGCTTCGCAACCTCCTCAATTAAAGAGCAAGGAATAGAAAGAGTGTGTATTATGCTCCTGCATATGCACACGTGTGTATGTGTGTACAAACATGTGTGTGCACGTAAACATGTGAGTGTATTTTTATGTGTGTGTGCATGCCTGAATATGCATGTGTGTGCATATGCATAGCACATGGGCTTTTGAGTGTTTCTGTGCATGTGCATACCTGTATGCATGCATGTGTATGTTTGAGTGTATTTGTAGACCAGGCTGGCCTCGAACTCAAGAGATCCACTTGCTTCTGCCTCCCAAGTGCTGGGATTAAAGGTGTGTGCCACCACTGCTGCACTGTAAGCATCTTTAAAATTCACATGAATTTACACTGTTATCCCCAACTCTACCATTAGCACATGGATTCTAGCTTTCCCCCTTGTTTGTTTGTAACTTCCCACTCCAGAGAGAGAGAAGCAAGCTCCCAGGCTCTGCCATCCACACCTCAGCTGTCCAGTGCCAGCACACATCCTTCAGCGCTATTTCATAGCTGTCAACCAGCTTGAAGAGCACTTGGATAGGACACAGTGCTCCTGTGTGTTTCCAGCTTCAGAATTATGCCCCACATAACTCCAGAGCTAACTCAGAGCAGCAACTTTTCCCCATGCCTCCGAAAAGAAGTAACTTCACAACTTTGTAAGCATCTGTTCTAGGGGCCTTCCATTTTCAAGTTGTAGTTTCTAGTTTGTGTGTATTGAGGTCTTGGTGCTATAACGTTCTGTGAGTTTTCACTAAGATACTGTCA